TCCAGTGGCATAGGCCGTAAATATTTGAAGGTTTTACAGCCTTTGAATTTTGATTTAGTTTTTGAGGTTAGAGACCTCAGAATGGGCTCAAATTTGAAGGGTTGCCTCCAGAGACATGTCCCATCAGTATGCAACTGACAGACTCTGAATCAGAGGTCATTTGACTAGGTTTTGAAGTATTTGAAAATTTGCTTAAAAGGCTTTTAGGACTTGGCCTTTTAGCATTGAATTTTAGTTTCAATTTCTGGATTTGGATTGAGTTTTGGATTTGATTGATTAAATGTCTGGATTGATTTATGATCTAGGTAAATCCTAAAGTCTAACTTCTAGAAAGGTCTTAAGGTTTAGAGTAGATCCTAAGGTCTAAAGTCTAGAAGGATCCTAGGATAGATCCTAAGGTCAGGATTCTAGGAAGATCCTAGAGTTTGAATTGATTTGGGAATTGAATTGATTTAGGGGCAAGATTGGTCCAAGTGACCTCATACAAAAATGAGGTCAACAAATCTCACAAGTGCCCGTAATGATGATGAACTCGTCAATTTCAATTTAAAGTAATTCAAAGACGAAATGAGTTTCGATTGACTTAAACTACCTTTGAGAAGAAAGTCTTGCCTATTTTATTGTGTAGGGTGTTTGAATTCACATTAATGAGTTATGTTAGAATATATGGAATCTGATTGTGTCGATTAATCAGATTGTACGATTGTCTTAGACCTCAATTAAATTTCTTATGTTTGATGCGCCTTTCCATGCTTGGGTTCGAGTGCTTTGCATATGAAAGTTTTTTTTTTTTTTTTACAACGCCCCTACACTGTATACCTGAGCGCTCAATGTAGTGCATCCGAGCGCCCCAATGTTGCAATGTTTGTTGGGAGAAACTACAATGAGCATAGCGCCACAACATTCTAAATTTGGTGCCGCAATGTTGTGTAGTGTTGTAGTGTTGCAATGCTACTGGTTTGAGCTTCACAACATCACCAAACAAATCTGAATTAGAAGTTTGAGCATCGTAGCACTCCAAACTGGTATCACAACACTTTGAGGGTTGAATATTTTTCTTTCTCATTTTTTTTCTCAAGGGTGACATCCCTTGGTGGTATATACTTGATTTTCTCATGTGTTTTGAGCGTGAGAAATGTGTAAGAGAGAAGTGAAGCAATGATAGAGCAAGAAAGAAGAGAGATCTGTACTTATTTCTCCCAATTTTCATAGCGAATTTTTTGTTGTAGTGTGGCTCAATGATTTTTCCAGATTTCCGATTTTTCCCGTTAAATTATGGCATTCTTTCATTTCAACTGCTTTTACTTTCTTGGTTCTTTATTGTATGATTTACTTTCACATCCCCAACAAGTCGGGTTTAAATTCAACCCAAATTGACCAACTTAAAAATGCTTAACCTAACTTATTTTAATAGAGTCGAAATACTCTATCTCGACCAGACTAAAATCACATACTAATAACCGAGATACGACATATCAAACTTATTCATTGGACCCAAGTAATTGAAATATTTTGTTGGAAAATACTTTAGTTTTGATTAATAGATTTAGATTATCAGACAAATATTATTTAATCAGTTTAGGCCTCAAAATCTATGTGGCTACTTGGATTGGTAAAAATTTAAGATCACCTTGCAACTATGCAAAACAAATATCAAGATCTTTTAATTTTTTTTTAAAACTTTTGGCGGCAGCTAAGGCAATATCTGTGTCCCGCTTCCAACAGATCCGACGGCCGCCGCGCTGCAGTTAGAAGAAATCGAGCAGCCAGCAAAGCAATTTCCATCCCTAATCACCCCTTATGATTTCTTCTTATAAAAGGATCTCCGGCGATCTGATAGAAATTACTCAAACCGATCGATCCGCTCAATTTCTTTTCCTTGTCTTCTAATTTGCTAAGCCTTCCGATAAACAAGATGTGTGGCGGCGCCATCATCGCGGACTTTATCTCCGCCTCTGAACTCCGGCCGGGTGTGTCTTCTATTGCATTGATTTCCTTCTTATTGATCCGGAATAAATAAATATTGTTCAGGGTTTTCTATCTGGTTTCTAATTAGTTGAAGAGAAGCGTAAGACAGAGCCGAAGAAACACGAGTAACGCAATCCCAATGTTAATTTCCCTACCGTGGAATCTCCGCTGCCACCATCTCCTCCAGCAACGCAATCCCAACGCCTTCTTGAACCAGTCGCCGGCCATGGCAGAATCCCCTTGACTTCTCCAGCATTTAGGAGCTGTCTGGCAAGAAGCAGGATTTAACCATTTAATATTAGTAGGATTTAATAAATCCTATTAAAATTAAATCCTAAAATCTGTTTGGTAAAATAAGTTTAAATCTTGTTAAATTCTGATAAATTTATTTGGCAACATAAATTTACATTGCCATGTTAACTTGATCTAAGCAGTCGAGTACTCAACTTTTCTGTATAAAAACTTACCTCAGTCAAGCGACCAAAATCCTCTATTTATTTCCATGGATGTTAAGTTGTGTGGAAACAAGCAAAAAAAAAAAAGTTCAAATATAATCACGATGCATCATTGAATTTCTTTTGAGAAAAATATAATACAAAATTTATCTCAGTAATATGCTATCTCAAAATAAATCCAATAATTACAAAATTGGCATCATGCATTTAGGCCAATTAAGACAGACTCACACACACATCATATACACAAGACTCGAATTCAAAGCCTCTTAGTTGGTAGCATAAACTCCCAACCAATAGACTAAGACGAGCTGTGTCATCTCAACTCCAGGTATACAAATGCATAAACAAGACACAAATCGCCTATAGTTCAGTTCATTTATCTTCCCTCTTCAAGAAATTATACTTGATCTGTACAACTCATCCTTACCAACTGCAGGAGAATATCTGTGATTTTGGCCTCGCCAATCATTAGCTTCTGCTGATGCCAAAACCTCACTGGCATTGTTCCAGTACCAGGGTTTGAAATGGGGAAGAAGAAGATGATCATTGGAAGAGTTGGCTGGAAGACTAACAGATCCCCAATCTCTTACTCCAGGACTAATCTCTCGAACTCGGCGCCGAACAAGCAAACCACCAATGTCTTCTCTTCTGATCTGAGAAATGGTTCGGAGGATGGCCATGTTGAGGAGGAGAACAAAAACTGCATCTTCATCTGGCAAGAATTCTATTGCTTGGAGTTTCCAGTTTAGAAGAGCAGTGGCTTTGCCATCTGGGTTATCTGGGTTGGATCTTACTATGGTGATGTACTGCTCCTCCTCTTCCGGATTGTTTTCGCTAACTTGGTATTGCAATTTCCTTCCTTCTTGCAGAACAACCTGCATGAGATTTGCCAGACTTTCAGTGAAAAAAAATATATAAAAAAATAAGTTGATTCGAGTCGAGCCTCCCCAAAATGAATCGGCTCGATCCATGAGCTGATTTCAAGCCAATTTATATGTTCCCAGCCAAGACTAAGGCTTTGTTTGGACGGCTTTCTTGATGCTTCTTAAAGAAGCTTTTTAGCACAAAAATTAAAGATTTTAGTATTAAAAAGCTGCTTTAAAAAACAGTAAAAAAGTGGTCCCAAAGGAAGCCTAAGGCTTCATTTGGGATGGCTTTTTTTCTGCTTCTTAAAGCAGCTTTTTAGTAGAAATTTTTTTATTTTTATACTATGAAGTTGCTTTAAGAAGCAACAAGAAAGTCGTCCCAAACAAAGCCTAAATCAACTCAAAATCAAACATCCTTAGTTAAAAGGATTCCTAATAGCAAAAATGTCTAACATTGTCTCATTAGTGCTATAATTGTTTACATATGATAACGGCTTCTAAGCCTGGCAATTTTGAGAAGCAAGAAAAATGAATGTCTTCCAAAAGAGGAATTTTGGGTCAAGATATGTTGTCCCAACTTCATTTAGGATGGATTTTATATTCATTAGATTAATCATATATTATACTCATCGTGATCAAAGCAAATTCAATAACTAAAAACCATCAAGATCAAATTTGGATAAGATATCACAACACAAATTTGGTTATGATGACTTTTCTACCACAATTTTAGAAAGTACTCAGTAAGAATGCTCATAAAAGAATTAATGGCAGAGGAGATTGTAATACTGATTGATCCGAGCTCTCATTCTGAAGCTGAAAGCTCAATCCATGCTCCCAACATATCGTTAAGACATCTCCAGTCGACAAAGACCAAACAATCTTTCTATCATTTGAATCTTCTCTTGCAGGAGTTGCAACACCAACTACCTTCTCTGATCACAGAAACAAAATTCCGACAAAATAAGAAAACATTCATAGTCGAAGTATATGAGCAAATAACTAGCTGGTTCTTACCAGGAGCATAACCAACTGAACTAGCAACATAAGACCACTGGCCTTCACGTACTTCTATAATTCTCTCATCCCATTTAACTGCTACTGGATTGTCAGCTCCTCTCCTCCAAAACCCCCTACCTACTCTACACATACACATTAAATCTTTGTAAATTAACTGATATTACAATGTTATATAACCATATTTTAATGCAGAAGAAGAATTAACCGTGTACGGATAACAAAGCACTCCCTTCCGGCATGATCGAGAACCGTACGAGATAACCAGCGACCTTCTTGAGGCCTATAACGTTTCATTTTTAGTATAACATCTGAGATCATAGCACCAGAGTCATCAGTCACACAATCTGGAACAGTTTTCAGTAAGTATGGAGCCTGGACTGGGGGAGTTACAGATGACAAAGCTCTAAGTTCAAACTCAAGTTCTCGGATTAATGTCAGCGTCGTCGAACGTAGCAAATCATTCCAGTAAAAGTATATCTTTTTAATCAATTTACTATTTCTCAGGAAACCGTTTCCACGTTTGCGAACTTCAATCACAATGCCTCTTGCGCTGAACTCACAATAAAGGTGCCATGTCTTCCTCCATTGTTCTGAAGATGATGACTCGGAGATGGACTTGTCCAGTTTTAACTCCTTGTGAGATCTGACCGTTCTCATTCTCAAAAATGTCTTATGGCACTCCTTTTCTTCCCATTTGCCTTTGAGAAATACAGTCACCTGTAGCAATTAGTTCAGTTGTCTAAAGAACCATATTAAGTAAACAACAAAAAGGTTATTATGGTGATGATAACCTTTATTTTACTGCATTGGCCTTTTTAGTAAAAGGTTGATAGGTTAACTAATGGTGATGGATGCTTTCTACCAAAGAAACTTAGAAGCAAGCATATATTTTAGATTGGATGCATGTAGACGGCATCAAGCAAAGCTAAAAGAAAAACTAACACAGAATATCATCATTGTTTTTGCAAAAGTAGCTGAATTTAAATCCTACGAGTCAAGCTTGAAGCACAGTCCATTTAGACTACATGTTGAAGACTGTGGAGGCTTAATGTTAGTATGTTACCAACCCAACATACTCAAACTAATATAGTGGGTATGGAGGTAAGAGAATAGGGAGTCTTGTTCAAACTTCAATACATTAATAGAGGATCAAATTACAAGCACTGAAATCCTTATTTATAAAAATAGGATTACATAATTGTTGCGTCATAAAATATTTGCGGCAGAAGAGAGATAAAATTTAGCATCCTAGCTTTGTACGAAGATTCGACACACACACAGATAAGAAAGGGTTGCAAGAGTCATAAAAGACATCAAGATTTTTACGTGAAAAACAACTAAAAGGGGAAAAAATCACGAAGTCTGGTTTAGTTAAAATAATTCCAATTGTATTTGTAGTCGATTACAAATGATACCCTTCATCGGGGGAAGGCCTTAGCTCAATGTATCAAATATACATCATATAGAACACATTACATGGTGGGAGTTGGAATAGTCTAGCGATATGAGAGTTATTCTCAAAAGAATTTGGCATAATTGTTTGGTTGGTAAGACAATAGTAGGGCAACGGAGGTCGGAGGGGCCGTAGTCGGACGACTGAGGCAGTGGGGACTGTTGTTGGGTGATAGAAGTCAGAGGGACTATAGTCAACGAACGACGGTGGTCTGAGGGACCATAGTCGACGGGTGATAGAGGTCCGAGGGACCGTAGTCGGACTACTGTGGTTGGAGGGGCCGTAATCGGCAGGCAACGATGGTTGAAGGGACCGTAATCAGCGAGCAACGATGTTTGGAGGGACGATATTCGGCGGGCGACGATGGTCGAAGGGACCGTAGTTGGTGGGTAACAATTGTCAGAGGGACCGTAGTTGATGGGTGATGGAGGCCTGAGGGACCGTAGTCGGCGGGTGACAACGGCTGAAGGTGACCGTGGTTGGCGGGCGATAATGGTTGGAAGAACCGTAGTCGGTGGACGACAATGGTCGGAGAGACTGTTGTTGACAGGCGACGAAAGTTAAAGGGACTGTAATCGGCGGGAGACCTGAGGTCAGATAAATTGTTGTTGGAAAACAACATTGGTCAAATGAAGGCCTAACGGTGGCTACCGTATGGAGATCCGACGGTGATGGTCGGGCAGAGATCCAGCAGCGGCGGACTAGTGGCAAGTGTTCACCGGTGGTGTTGTCAGGATGGAGCTTCGAGATGCTTCAAATTTCAGTGCTCTCTTGAGTCTCTAGCCTAGGGTCTAAGCCTCCAAAATCCCAAGCACGCTCTCATGTGGGAAGATGGGGGCTTATTTATAGATTTTGAGAGTGGCATGACTCATAAATATAGAGAAGATTCAGGGTAAATTCGGAGTGGTCCATCGGATGACCCATACTAATTCCTTCGATCTTTGAGCATTTATTCAGCATTTAAGTACCTTAACGATATTAGCATTAAGTTATTTTGGGCTTGTTGGATTTGTCTCGTCGAGTCGGTCAATTCGATTATAAGCATGCTATATTTGGATATCATTTGGTCATCAAATTAATTCTCTCAAACTTCCTAATATGCTTTAAGGCCCTTGCTTTGAGCCCCGATTGGGTTCGGATTTGACCTATTTTGGTGTTGGGTTCGTCTTACTGAGATGTTCAATTTGACAGTAAGTTTGCTTAAATTGGTATTCGGAAGATCCTAAATTTAATTTTGGAAGTTACCAACTAAGACATGCCTCGAGATTTGTGCTGGACCAAGGCGATTTTTGGTGACGTATCAATGATAAAATCAAACTAATCCAATTTAAATATAAATATGTCCTAAAAACACTACAAATTAATTTAAAAAAAAAATCTAAATTTTTGTTTATTGAAATCAAAATCAAAATATTATAAATAATAAAAATTTCAATAATTTAAAAAAAATTAGAATAGTCCAAACTTTTTTTAAGCATGTTTTATATTGTATTATTGATTATTATATAAATATAAATCTCACTCAAGCTGATGTATTGAATGGGGGAAATATTGTGATTATCGAGTTATGCATATGATTTATCCATTGAGATGTGTAGGCGAAAGTCACAATTTTTCATGGATGATCGTATGTATTATTCCTTTTTCTTTCTCATTGATCTATTTGCGCAAAGAGTAAAGGCTTACGTAGTACGGTCGTATCCTTTGCATTCTGATTCCCACTTGTAGCATCCTTTCAGAGATCTACAACAACAGAAGCCACAAGATGGCAAACTAATTCTATCGAGTACTACTTTACCAAGTGTTGTTGTCAAGCACTAGTATAACATTATTGCTCGAGTGCTCGACTATAACTTGCTAGAAGCAAATAGTTGACTAATGTTAGTTGGATACTAATAGCAATCGGCCAAGATAAAACTACTCTCCAATTGCGAGACAAATTAAAAGCCATACAATTCAAAATAGAAGAGATATAATAACAACAAGGCAATTATTTTGTACCATCAAATGACACCTATATTGTCATAAATGTCTATCAACTTTGCTTCGTTCATATTGTACATATACTTGTGGCTATCTTCGAGTCAAAAAGTTCTAAGAAAATTGAAAGAGCGGTGCAAATGATTCAAGAGTGCCAACCTCCATAAGGAACCTCGGTTGAAGGCCTTTGTAATGGCGGTTCACGTCGCTGTTCAATGCATCCCAGTTGAAGAACAACCTCCCTGGTGACGACGGAGGATCCATAGCTACCCCAGCTCGCTCGTATGGCTCGTCGAACTCCACCTCCCACGCCCTGATTGTCCTCTCCGCCTCCTCCGTGGTCACCTGGTCTTTGAACCCCACCACCCTCCTCCCCAAATCCCCCATCCCCTCCATGTCTGTAACATATCTTCCAGGGAAACTCTGCTATGCACCGCCGCCAAAATTAGAACAAATCCATGGATACAAGAACCACCTTCCATGAAAAAAATCAATCTTTTAGGGTGAGGAATTACCTGGTGGGTGTGCCACATAAGGCGAATATCTGCGGCTGGCACCATCCTGAAGTTCCTTACTGCCGATTTCTTCATCAGGAGCAGAAAATTTATGTACCTCCGCCGAGCAGAGACAAGGTAGACTATCTCTGGAACGAATGGATCGGAGAAGAAGGAACACAACTCACTGTGCTTAGCCACGGACGCGAAGATTCCACTACTAGAGCAGGCATCTGAGGTGATTACAACGGATGAATTATCCTCTTCGAAGTCGAAATCAAAGGGCTCTGATGGATGGCGGTCGTTCCAGATATCGCGGCAGCGATCGGCAGCGTATTCCTCGTTCTCCTTGTCAAGGATAGCCGGCCGGTCTATAACCGCCCCAAATTTGGAGACACAGTATTCGCGGTAATGCTCCTGTGGTGGAAAAACCCTCGATATCGAGAACAGCAACGAGTGGAAACGGGAGTTGATGATGTAATACTTACCGAATCCAGGCAGTGGCAAAGCCAGACCCATTCAACGTCCAGCGGCGGGAGAAGCATCGGAACCGAAGACAATTCGCTCGATAGATCCGCCATCATCGGCATCCATATCTCCTCGTACCTGAAACCAATCGTTAAATCAATTCGACTACAGAAACTATAAGAGGGAGGGAGGAGGGGAGAGAGAGAGAGAGAGAGAGAGAGAGAGAGAGAGAGAGACGGGGAGGAGGAGAGAGAGAGAGAGACCGGCGGATGGAATAGAGGATGGCGGAGGGGTGTTGGAGGATAGGAGAGCCGGCGACGGAACGGAGGAAGGAGAGATGGCGGCGCGCGGCAGCGACTAGATCGATGGTGATGCAGAGCTTGCTGGCCTCTTCTGTGAGGGAAAAGGAGGCGAGGGCGGCGGCGGCGGCGTTGCAGCTGCTGTCGCAATTGTGGTGGCTGCCGGAGGAGACGCTGTTGTCAGTGGAAGAGTTGGGCGAGGTGGCAGTGAGCCCGACATTTCGGCCGGACATTTCGGTTTTCTTGACGTGGTAGTTTAACAGTTGCGGACCGGTGATATGTGGTGATGAGTAAGTAAGAGTTTCTTCAAGTAAAAAAAATCAAGCAGCAAAGTTTGACAAACATTTGATATAAAATTCGCAAGTTCTTTTTTGGGAAAAATTTACTAAACTTTTTTTTTTTTTTTTAAGAAAGAATTCGTAAGTCTACTGAGACTCATTTCGGATAATTTTTTGACACTATTTTTTACTATTTTCAAAAAATTATACTAAAATTTTGATATAGAAAATAGTAAAAAAAATTCCTAAATGGTTAAAGTTAGTTATTTATATCAAAAAAATAAACTAATTATTACTTAGCAAAGAGTATATTCTTCAAACATTGAGATAAGAACGGATAGTAAAAACTAGCTAAGTTGTTTGCTAAAACCCACAAACTTTGTGGAGTCTCATAAACTATTTTATAAAATCATGTTAATTATATTTTTTAAAGTATTTAGGATTTAAATAATCGATAATTTTTTACTTAATTTGAGGGGAAGTTTAAAAGAAATTGCTTCATAGATTCAAAATAATTTTAATACTATTATGAATGAAAATTGTGTATATTGTCGTGTTCAAGCAAAGTAGAGCCACAGAGTTAGAGACATCACAATTATATATTTCTACAAAAACAAAAGGATTCTAAGACCCTATAATTAACAATCTCTTTAATTTGATTCATTCTCTATCATCATAGTAGGTCGATTATTGATTATATTATGATACTATGAATAAAATAGATAAGCATAAATATAATACATAGTCAATTATTTTAATCTAAACTTCATAACTTTTTGCTAAGTACATATAGCATATCCTCAACTAAAGATTTGGTGAAAATACATATGAGCTAGTAATGTGTGTGAAAACATTCTATTCAATATTATTTTGAGCAATATGAACTTGGATGATGTGGCGTACAATCTCGATGTGTTTAATCTATGAATGTTGAATTGAATTATTAGCTAAGTTGATAGCACTTTTGCTATCATATTGAACTACAATGTGTTTTGACTTAACTTCATGGTCTTCTAAATATTATTTCAACTAAAACACAAGTACAACACAACTACCTATAACAATATGATCCACCTCTTTAATAAATAAATATGTAGAATTATATTTTCTATTGTAGCATGGCAATAATGATGATCCTAAGAGCTTTCATATTCCATATGTGCTCTTTTGATCAACTACATGTAAGAACTTGTAATAGTCAACATGAATAATGTCTTGTATATTATGTAATTCATATATAGTCTTATCATATACATAACAGTCATATCCCTGTCATATATCATTTATTTATATCTAATTGTATGTCAATCAATCAATTCTATCATCAATCTATCTATCTTATCTATCATATGTCATTTTCACATCTATTATATCATGTATGCAATTATATATGCTATCATGTATATATATTAATGATGAATTCAATAAGGTAGAACATTCATCTTTAAATTAGTATTTTCATCATTCCATCTATCATATATATCTATCATCTACGGTCAATCATATATTTCAATTATTTCTACTAATCATTTATTTTATTTGATGGATTTTAATAAATCAATGAATAATCGTCACTCTCTACTCATCAATGTAATGGATCAATTGTTTACAAATTAAAATTCAAAATTACATCATAAACCTTTTTAGTTTAAGGAAATTCGTCAGCCCACTCTCATGTGCATGATTTTATCATTTTAAGAACCAACATCTATTAACTTTAGTATTGACCGCCAACATTTCTTGCTTACATACAGATGTATCATATATCAATCTTATCATTTTCTTTATGCATCAATATCATGTATGAAATACAATAATCATATTTTAATCTATGAAATGTATGTCATCTATATACTATTTATTTTCCTTAGAAAATCATGCCACTGAATTTTACCAGGTGAAACTTCAATATAAATCAATCAAAATATTCAGAATACTGACATAAATCATATACCTAAAATTACACGGTAATAGTTCACAAAAACATAAGATATAACATTTTTACTAGATTCAGGAGGGAAAATTTTATTAAACTAAAAAATATTAAAAATAAAAGTAGAATATATGCCACTTACAATCAAGGTTGTGAAAATCGGATCGGACAACGAACCGGAAGAATGAGAGGTTCATGGTTCGACCGATTCGACTGGTCGAACCGGGGTTGAACCGGATGATGTAATAAATAATAATATAATTAAAAATAATAAAATTAACATAATAATAATGACAATTTATTCTTAAAAATTTTATAATTCTAAGAATTTTTAGACTAAAAAATAAATAAAATTCATACATATATAATATATTACATAATTTTAAAATTAAATATAAATAATTATTATATTTATGTTATATATTTAAATATAAATAATTACTAATTTTAAATTT